GCTGCTTATAATACCGCTACTACTAGTAACGATAATATCTCCGTCTCTATATAGCTTAATATCGATATAGCCTCGTTTACTAAGTAAGAGACTATATGGAAGCTATATAACCTATTACTCCGCCTCCGAGACAATATTATATAGGCTATATTCAAGTTCTTAGCTAGAGCCGCTACTATAGTAGCGGTGCTAAAGACACCTAGTAAGACTTAGTAGAATAGCTAGCTCTTACTTATAGACGAGGCTATTAAAGCCAAGCTAATATTAGACCTTCTATTTGTACGAGAGCCTTTACTATAAGACGTAGAGCTAACTATAGCCGACTAGATAGTAATTAAGTACGCTTGCAACTTCCTATATCTATTTAAGGAGGTTACAATACGCCTATAGAGCTATAACTGTATACTAGATAGCTTCTAAGAAGCTACAGAATACCTCGTTAACTGTTACGAGAAGTCTCTCGAGCTATACAAGTATAGACCTACTATTCCGAAGTCTATTATTGTCTCTTAGCACCTGTTTAATTAACTTTAATAAGTACTACTAACTTATCGACGAATCTAGTACGTACGTAGCGGCTCTCTTACTATATCCTTTAAAGCGACTTGCCTAGCTTTAGAAGCGCTAGACTAGAGTAAAGAACACTAACTAGTTAGAGCTAGTAATAGCAAGAGCGAGGGCATTATAGCAAGAATATAAGGACAGGTATAAGCCTTCAGCAAAACTAACTACTACTATAGCGGTTATAGACCTTACTAGCTTCGAGTTATAGCAATTAGCCGCGGAGGTTATCGATATAGTTAAGGACGAGTTTAATAGCTTCGTCTATACCGCTCTATACCTATTGCCTATTATCTAAGATAGCAGTAGTAACGATGTCCGAATAGGTCTATTATAATAGTAGTTATAACTAGCTTAGCGATAGGCGTAGCCTTTATTATCGCGGCTTACTATCGACGTCTTATCCGCCTTCGCTATATCCGCTAAGAGCGAGCGTACCTTTAGTATAGCAAGGCGTACTTTTCTATAGGACCGAAGCTAACTAGATAGTAAGACAGTGCGTATAATAGAGCCTTCTAAACAATAGTAGAAGGCTAGTATTGTATTACTAGTAATAGACAATAGTGCTATTAATAAAGATGAGATAGAAGACTTATTAGATATATAGTACTATATAGTAGGCGCCTTATAGTAATATATCGATAGTAGTATTATTATAGTATCTATAGAAGCAGTATCTATAATAATAGTACCTCTAACATTAGTATCTATAACAATAGTATCTATAACAATAGTATCTATAATAATAGTATCTATAACAATAGTATCTATAACAATAGTACTAATTAGTCTTAATAGATAGCGACAACGACGTAGAGGTAGCTATTAATCTATCTATATACCTCCGTAGAAGACTAAATACTAACTATTTACCTAAATATACGAAAAGTTATATTTATATTTACTAAATACACCCTCTAAATACTAAATATTTAGTATTTAATATCTATAACTACAAAGAGCTAAGGAGCTAATATATTAGCTAAGGGAGCCCTACTATATACGTTCTAACGGCTCTATCGATACTCGCCGTAGGAACGCTAGAGATTCTATACGACTTTAGAATAGCTCCTCTAGAACGTATACCTACCCTAAAGCCCTACGGGACGTTATCTTAGACACGTAGCTCTAAAGTATAAGGCAACCTCTTACTTAAGCTCGACCTACCGCTACCTATCTAAATACTATATCCGCTTATATAGCCCTATAGCCCTATAGTATTTATCCTAAGCTCTAGCCTATTAGTAACTTTACTTATAGCATTTAAGGCTAATATCTTACTCTTAATCGCCGCCTAATATGCCTTATTATATATAGGCGTAGAGCGAGACATCTAACGGAACCTAGATTACTATTAATGTCTAGTCTTAGATAGGTAAAACTCCTTACTAACTACTCTCGAATAGCGGAATTGCCCTTAGACCTAGAAATATTATCGGTGCTATAAATAACCTCGCTAAAAGACTAATAAGTATCGGCGAAGCAAACCTAGGAGGAAGTTATCGAAATCGAAGTACTTCCGACTAGGTATAAATAAACGAGGAAAAGGCTCTCGTAGATATAATAGATACTAGTAAAAGACAGAGTCGAAGCTGTAATTATTAAATATAGTGCTACCCGCCGTATAAACTATACTCCGTCCGTCGCCCTATTCTCGATATTACTATAGACGGACCTAAAATTATACGTAGCCGCCTATTACTAAACTAAATATAACGCTATTATAACATTCCGTTATAATCCTATTAGCTTTCTAGGATACCTTAAAGCTAATTCCTCCGTAGATAAACTAAAGCATACCCTATAAATGTGTATAGTAATCCTAATTATTACGATACTTTCTAACTTAGCGTAAATATCTTTTATCGAAGCTTCTTTAGTAAGGTAATTTAGAAAGTTCTACTTAATTTTTTAGAGCCGTAGCCGCCGCCGCCGCTACCCCCTACTCTTTCCTCTATCCTACTCGAGTAATTTCCTAATATATACTTCGACTAATTCGCTAAGAGTCCTCCTTAAACTTCTTAGATATATCTACTACTAATAATATTAATAATTATACGCTAGAATTCTAACTACGAGGTCCGACTAAGTGTTAGGAAGCGGTATTCTAGACCTCTTATACCTATCTAGGGAAAACCTTATACTGTTTAATTAGATCGATATTCTTATTTACTTATAAGGGTATAATTAATAGGCTCGCCGATAGAACGATTATAGAGTATCGAGTCCTAGTCTTAGGTACTAGGACCTATCTTTTACTCTAAGTTAAGGCCTTTTACCGAGTAATATAAGGTCGGGCTAGCTACGAGTCTCGAGAAGTTAGCGAAGCGAATCGGCTTTAGGAATATCTAGACTACGAGCGCGTATTATTTACAATTCCTCCCTAAACTACTAGTAAGGACAATAGTACTACGATTCTAGGCTAAATAGCTTACGTAGAGCTTTCTATAATCTTAGTAAAGTCTATCTCTAACTAACTTCAGAATCTTTCAGCCTATAGGTTACTTATATAATATAATTCGATAAAAGACTCTAAACTTAAGATCGGATTATATCTCGTACTTTATATATAAAAGACCGTACTAAGCTAACTCTACGCTACTAAAATCGTACTATATCTACGTATCTATCTACGTCGCTAGATATTATCTTATTTCGAGCTTAAATACTCTAAAAGATAAGTATATTACTAAAGGGAATAATTCTTATATTATAGTTAATTATAAGCTAATATTCTTATAGATAGCAACTAATAATAAAGATAGTACTATCGCCGCTACTCGTACCTTCGCTATATCCGAGCTCCTCGAAAAAAAAACCCTCTCTAATCTTATCCTTATCGAGCTCTACTATATAGAAATACTTAATATAAAATTTCTAATCTATAATTACTAGCTCTAAGGACCTATATAATTTAAAACAACCTAATACTATACTATATTCTTACTCTATAGTACCTATATTTATAACGCTATCTTATTAACGAATAACCTATCGTCGACTAGCTTAACCTCTACTCTCTAGCTTTCTCTCTAGCTATATCTCTTTCTCTAAGTATTATAGGGGATACTAGTAGATTTCCGCGTTAAAGAAAATTTCGAACTCTACTATCTAAATTATATCCTAAGCTAGGCGCGATATCTAAGTTTTAAGGATTCGTTTTAGAAAATTTAATTTTCTTTTCTTTTTCTTTTTCCGATTTTTTTTTAATTTTATTTAGGATAGAGGGATAGAGGGAGTGCTTAGATAAGATTATTTATAGATTTTTTTTTCTCTATAGGAAAGGAGGTTTTAGGAGTAGAAGTTAGGAAGAGGAAAGGTTTATAGTATAGAGAGAAAGGGTAGGAGATAGGGTAGAGTAAGATAGGGTCTTTACTAAGTAGTTAGTTCTTTTAAATATTATAGATAGGGTCGATAGTTATAACTTTTAATAGTATAGGAAACGGTAGTACCGTAACGTAAGGCGTAAGAAGCTACTCTAAAGTCTATTTTGTATCTTAGCGATAGGTGCTCTCGTAGGATAGTTAAGGGGTAGGCGTTTGTTGCCTTGCAATTACAGTATAGAGTAATACCTCTCTATAAAATGTAGTTTGCTACTAGCTAATTGCCTTAAGGCGAGACAAGGAAGTTGCTCGAGGTTTCTTGTAATTATAAGAGCTCGTAGATTTCGAAGTCCGCCTCGTAAAACACTTAATATAGGCTCCTAAAGTAGGTAGCTAACTAATATCTCTTAGCTAATGCAATGCACCGCGAGATGTTAACAGCTGGTTCATACGTGCAACTCTTGTTGCCTCATTTTTATCCATCGTCGCACTACGTAGCTGCATAAATCAGCTGGCCTACGTAGAGAAGCATGTTCGTTCATGTCAATGCCAAGGCGGAGACAACCGAACGCTTCTTCTATATAGCCCTCGAAGCTTTGAGCATCGCATGGATATAAGGTAAGTTAGTGAAACAAATCTTGAATATTCAAAACAACTGCAAATTGCATTGTTGTCTTCTCTGGGAAACTGGAACTGGGCGGCTGCGATCTGGCGCTAATGGGTGTACCTGATAGCGTGGCGCCGGCGAAGTAACGTGCCTTGACGCGCATGGTATCCTGGTAATATTCAGAACATGAAAGGTGGTGTCGTGGGAATGGGCATTTCGAGAAATTAGTAGATTTTGCATTGGGATGTTTAGGATGTTTTTGGCGTAGAAGGCGTGTGAGAGAAGATGGACGTACCTTCTTTCGTGGCAGGAGCTTTAGGCATAACCGCTTGATTTGAGATCAACAATGGCTAGTCCCAGAGGGTGGCCGGGGAATCGAAGTATGCAAAGGGAGAAGAGCTTTGCGGCATTGTGTGAAAACCTTCACGCTCTTCTCGAGGTGTATGCTACGGATGTTGTCAGCTGGTCCATGGTGTGGCCGAGCATGTCATTCAGTAGGAAAATGCGCTCGGTGGCATGGATATCATTTCTTGTACTCTCAACTTGCTAATGTACACGACCTCGTTGCTGCTCTTGAAGCAAAGCCGTGCAAAGACAGAAGGGTCCATTCCGATCCTTTCTGAATCTAGAGCCGTGTCTCTGGAGCCTCGGCCACGCTCGTCCAGGCAATCGGAGCCTCGTCCCTCCCACAGCGCCTGCTCATCTCATTTCATTTCACTTCCCTGCCCTCTCAGCCTCCAGTTCCCTCTCGGCATTCTGGTAGTATTTTGCAGTATCCACACCATGCTGATCATGATTCACAAAGTTGAACCAAGGCATGACATGCAGAAACACGCCGGAGTACCTGCTCTGTCTCGCTGCGGCTCCTTGCATGTATTCGGTCAAAGTTGTCTTGCCGTACAGTGGCTCTCCCCTCTTCACTTTGTCCGTCATCTCCCGCATGTCCATCTCAATTTCGCGTCTGTTCTCGCTGAAGCCGTAAAAGCGGTTGATGGATCGTGAGTAGAGCATGAGGAAGCCGCCTATCGCTCCCATGGCGCCTGATAGTCGCATGATCTGTGCAAATCCTCCGCGTCCGACTTCTGAGGGGGAGATTCGTTCCCACCACAGCATGAGACTAGGTGAGATGGCGGCAGTGGCGGCAGCGGCGACGTAGTCCGAGGATCGTGCATATTTGACGACGCGGGTGAAGTGTGGGTCGGAGTCGATGAGCTGAGAGGAGTGTTAGTGATGGGTGGCAGCGGTATCGTGAGTGCGATGTACCGGGTAGTCGCCAAGGGCGCGTCTGGGCTGGACGTTGGGTCGTGAAGTCTGGCCAAGCTCTGGCCCTTCGACCAGTGACTGCACTTGCGGTGGTCTTTCCTGGGACGCCATTGTGGGTGATGTGTGGCCGCAATGCCTGTCGTCGGCGCTGTGCAGCTCCAGAAAGTGAGGTCGTGGGGTCGTCCAAGTCGGCGTTGCTGATGGGGGACGCCTCTGATTGGCGCGGAGTCAACGGTGAGCGATGCATGTTAGTGTGACATTAAACACGAGCTGCAGGAACTTTTGGAAGGCGCGACTCGGTGATGATCACTAACGTTACAGCGTGTGCATGTCCTCGATGCCGGTCAGGTGAGGACGGAAAGGCCCAGGCAGCGTGGAAATGTCGCGCCCAGCAGTCAGCGACCTGACCGGCGACCACGAAATCGCACGAATCGCCCGCTCGACGTGGCTCGCATCGCCGACTCCGCCCAAAGTTCTCCCTCAGACCGTCGCTGAGCTCTGGAAGCTCGTTGAAGACGACCACTTTTCTGCCTTCTCGCTGCTCTTGCTCGAGCAGCTGCAGGCGTTGGAGCGATATCTGTGGCCCGGCTACGGCGATGAGGCATCCAACCAGCACCTGCTGCTGCTCGTGCTGCTGGTCAACACCAAACGACAGGAGCACCTTCCCGTCTGGTCCCTCTTCTCCAACACCCCCGACGAATTCGCACACTTCTTCCGGAGAGTCGTGCACTTGAGCATCGACCCGAGCCTTGCGACGAATCTCCGAGAATGTGTGCTGGCACTCATCGTCGCCGCCTACCAGTCGCTCGACCACGGCATCGTGCGCAAAGAATGCGCTCCGCTGGTCTCCATAGGAATATGGCATCACCTGCACGATGATGCGACGAGAGAGCGACTGCTGGCGAAGAATGTGCAGCTCCAAAAGGCGTGGCGAGCGGCGGGCAGGAAGTTTGACAATGCAGATGCTGCAGGGCAGGCGAAACTGCGCTTGGAGCGGAGTTGGTTGCATGAACTCGTCCTGCACACGCTCGACAAGCTCTATGAGGACGACAAGAAGAAGGAGGGCAATGTCGCCTACTGCGAAAGACTCCTCGAGCTCCTTGGTGATCTCCAGTCGCAACTACCGACGAGGAGATACGTGAATACACTGCTGCGAGACATGAATCTGCTCCCGGCCATACTCCTCTCCCCCATGTATCAAGATGAAGAGCGCATTCGCGACATGTACCGGCTTCTGGAACATTATACGCACTTTCCTCTCGACGACTACACCGGGCGACAGCTCAGCCGACGGGAGCATGATGAAGCGCAGAACGCCAGCATCTCGAGATTGCAAAAGGTCGCCATGAAGCTGCAGCCCGAAAAATTGAAGATCCTGATCTTGACCAATTTTGGCGCTCTTGCCCACCGAGACGATCTTGAAGGCCATCTGAAAGACTTGACCGACGCCGAACTGCATCAGCTATGTCAAGAACTTGGCGTGAGGACGAGCCAGTACCCGGAAAAGACGTTGCTGCTTCGAGACCGTGCTTTCGTGGTAGAGTCGCTTGTATCGATGATCGCGAAAAAGCCTCACTACGCGGAAGACATGCGCCCGCTCCGAATACTGCCGACTGAGGATGTGCTCTACGACAGAGGCATGATGCGGACTGAGGAGTACACGTCAGGCCAGCCATTGCCTCTCCCGAAACTCAATCTGCAGTATCTGAGTGTCGGTGACTTCTTGTGGAGATCATTCATCCTCTATCGTCAGGAATCATTCTACGGCATCCGGAAGCACATCGAGGACACCGTCAAGAGGCTTCGGCCGAGACGTGGGGGTGGCCAAACCAGATTTGATGGCTTTTCGCGCATGGCCATTCCCATACCAAAGCCTGCAATCATCGAAACGACGCCGCCCAGAGTTGGTGAGACTGTCCCTGCCGAGGTCAAGGTCGAAATCATCCTCGACGTGAGCAGACTACAACCGGGTTTGCGCCGCGAGTGGGAGAGTCTAAGGCCAGACGACACAGTCTTCCTGCTGGCTCTTCATCCCGAGGACTCTGCCATGAAGCTGACCAATGGCGCTGCCAGCAATCAATCATATATGGAAAAGACAGGGCTGAAGACCGTTCGCTGTGCCGAGATCATCAGCGTGCTTGACGAGAACGGAAGAGCGCTACGCTACAATCAAGATCAGCAAGACCATATCGATGGCATGTCGAGGCCGCGTCAACGACGACTCCTTCTGCGCATTGATCCCATCGCATACAAAGCCGATAAAGACCGGGAAGATGCTGGCAAGGGTGATATCTACGAGAGCATCAACTTGATCATCCGCCGGCGGTCGCGAGAAAACAACTTTCGACCGGTACTCGAAAGCATCAAGCAGCTGGCGCTGTCAGATATGCCCCTTCCAGGCTGGTTTGAGGAAGTCTTTCTGGGCACAGGAGATCCATCTTCTGCTACCTACAAACGCTTATCCAACAAGCTGAAGAACATTGACTATCGTGACACATTCTTGGACTGGCAGCATTTGATCGAGTCGCTTCCTGGCAAGACGATCGAGCCTGACCCAAAGCTGAATGCCATTCCTCCACCTCCGTATGTGCTCGAGGCCACTGGAGCAGCCCCTGCCGCTGCGCCGCCGAAGAAGGGGAAGAAGAGACGACACGATCAACCCGACGGCCCGGAACCGGCGCCTTCACCAGAGACTTTTAGAGTATCCACGTACACACCTCCCAACAATGGACCGTACCCGACAGACGCACCGAAGACGAATGCCGTTCGCTTCACGCCGACACAGATTCATGCGGTCACATCAGGCACGCAGCCTGGTTTGACTGTGGTTGTTGGCCCGCCCGGAACTGGTAAGACCGATGTCGCCACCCAGATCATCAGCAACATCTACCACAACTTTCCTCAGCAGCGGACCCTTCTCGTGGCCCACTCCAATCAAGCTCTGAACCAGTTATTCCAGAAGATCACCGCACTTGACATTGATGAGCGACATCTGTTACGTCTCGGACATGGCGAAGAAGAATTGACAACGGAGGCAAGCTTTAGCAAAGCGGGTCGCGTGGAGTCATTCCTTGAAAGAGGTGCTCAGTTCCTGGCAGAAGTGCAACGATTGGCAGCCTCCATTCAAGCTCCTGGTGCACACGGCAATAGCTGTGAGACAGCAGAGTACTTCAATCAAGTATGGGTTCAGCCATTGTGGAAGCGATTTTGGGACCTTGCAAATTCAGAAGAAAGCACAGCAGAGGCGGTAGTGTCCGCTTTCCCATTCCACAGCTTCTTCGCCGACGCGCCGCAGCCGCTGTTCCCACCGGATACGCAGAAAGAGCATGTCATCGAGATCGCCAAGGGCTGCGAGAGGCACATCAACCGCATCTTCTCCGAGTTGGCAGACATTCGGCCTTTTGAGATCCTTCGAGCACAACGTGACAAGAGCAATTATCTGCTCGTCAAGGAAGCACGCATCATTGCCATGACATCAACACACGCAGCCATCCGCCGACAAGAAATTGCGCAGCTTGGATTCAAGTACGACAATGTCATCATGGAAGAAGCAGCTCAGATTACCGAAGTCGAGAACTTCATCCCTTTCGTGCTGCAGAATCCCATCGCCAAGGACGAAAAGTCTCCAGAACACGAAAATCCACTCAAGCGCGTCGTCCTTGTCGGTGATCATTTGCAAAACAGTCCGGTGATTCAGAACCCAGCTCTGAAATCTTACTGCAATCTCGAACAATCTCTCTTCCAGCGCTTGGTGCGTCTCGGAGTCCCTCACACTCAGCTTGACGCTCAAGGCCGTTCGCGACCCTCCATAGCCAATCTTTACAAATGGCGATACCCTTCACTCACGAACTTGGCTTTCACTTCCACAGCACCTGAGTTCGTGCAAGCCAACGCTGGCTTCCGACATGAGTATCAGTTCATCAACGTGGACGACTACAAATGCCAAGGCGAGAGCGAGCCGACGCCTCACTTCATTCAAAACCTGGGCGAGGCTGAGTACGCTGTCGCTCTGTATCAGTACATGAGACTTCTTGGTTATCCTGCCGAGAAGATTTCCATCCTCACAGCGTACGCCGGGCAAAGAGCGCTCATTCGAGATGTTCTCACGCACCGTTGTAAGAGCAATCGACTTTTCGGCATGCCGGCATGGGTTGGTACAGTGGACAAATACCAAGGCGAACAGAACGACTACATCATTCTCTCGCTCGTACGAACCAAGACTCCAGGGTACTTGCGCGATCTGAGAAGATTGACTGTCGCGTTGTCCCGCGCCCGTCTCGGCCTGTACGTGCTTGGCCGCAAAGAAGTCTTCGAATCAAGTCTCGAGCTTCGTGAAGCATTTGAACCACTTTTTGAGAAGTCGACGAAGCTGGAGCTGGTCGGGAATGAGATGTTTGGTGCAACACAAAGGCTGGTTGATGATGCCAATGTGCAGAATGTCGCTGAAATGGCAGGAGTTGAGCATTTGGGACAGTATGTCTTCGAGATGACGCAAGCCAAAGTCAAGGCATTGAAGGAAGGTGGAGGACAGCTGCCTCCACTTGCACAGACTGGGAAGTTAGAGGAAGATTATCAGGACGAAGGCGACAATGGAGAGGGAATTGAAGCTGGTGAGGAGATGGATGAGGATATGAAGGAAGCTGTTGCGAGTGATACGGCTCCGATCAAGCTCACGTAATGCTGTTGCCCTGCTTCCGCAGCCTTTCTCCATATTTCAACCCGAGAAAGCTATCACGCACCTGCCGGGATTTCTTTCCCAGTCACGCTTCCAATCAAGACCCATAAAACTAAACTCATTTGCACATCGCACTGGATGCTTCGCATTCGCGAGTCAGGTTTGAGAAAGGTTTAATGTAATGTATACGTCTATGCTGATATTACTTGCGCGCAGCAAGAACATTCGCTTGAACCTTGCTACGATCAGTGTCAACAACAGCGCTACTACGCAATTGCAAGATCAGCTACAACGCGGCCTTGAAGAGAACACTACTGTTGTCACAAGCTCACTCGACACCAGTCAGCGTGTAGATGGACGACTCGAAAAGCTAGAGGAGCTCATAATCGCGATGCAAAATCGCCTGCAAAAGACCCAGCCGGCTGCCTTCAGCTCAAACGACCAGCCAACGACAAATGCGTTCCGTTCAATCTCTCGAGAAACGAGTACCGTTGAGGCCTCGCACAGATGCAGTCGGCTTTCTTTAGATGCGCTACGGCAGTTATGTATGCTTATATACTTGCTATACGTAGTAGTAGGTTAGAATAGTAGCCTAGCTTAGTCGTATACTCGGCTAGCTCTTCGTCGATTCTTTAGGTATATTATTATTACTAGCTAACTATAATAACTTAGATTACTAAAAAAAATCTAGTCTATATCTCGATATCGAATACTAGTTCCTAACTAGCGTCTTTTAGTCGTAGATTCTATATTTCTCTTATACTTTCTAGGCTTAGATAGGGCTATAATTTTAGCTTAGTATACTAAGAGGAATTCCTAATAACGTACCTACGATCGCCTTTACTATAGGCGGTAATATTAATAGGCTTAAAGACGTATTCGTAAGAGGCCTAGCCTCTCCTTACGATATATATAAGATATATAGATATTCTTTACTTAGAGTAAGTAGTCTCTAGATAAGAAAGATACTTCTATATTACGGCTAGCTACCTATATACACTATAGCTGCCTAAGACAAAGGCTTATTTACTTACACTGTTTGCTAAGGCAAATAGTCGCCGTAGTAACGGGGATATAGGCCTCTAGGGCCTTGCAACCTCTTCGTAGAATCGTACGTAATTAAGTTGTTTCCTCGCTTAATTACGTACCTTAATAGTATTATATACTAACTATAACGGACGCACTATTATCTTACTTATACGATACTAGCTCGGACTAATATAGATATTAGTTACCTTTACGCTAGAAAGCACTTCTATATATACTAATTTATACCTAGGATTATTATCTCTACTATATTAGTATCGGGACAATATCGAAGAAGTTCTTATAGCACTTCTAATAATAAGATAACCTCTTAGGGTATACTAGGAGGTTTCGACGTCGAAGATAATAATTACACTTTCGATACTATACTTAATCGGTAGAAGAAGAATAAGTTAGACAAGGATAAGCGTAGTAGTAAGCGCAAGTCCCTCTTTCCCGCTTATCCCGATCTCTACTCTTAGATATTAACTTCGTAAGAAGACATTAACAACACTTATAATTAGTTTATAAAAGAAGTTAACGTATAGTACTACTAAGCTCGTACTAATCTACGTTAAGAGGCTATTAATATTGCCTCTTACAAGCCTCCGACGCGTAATATTACGTCCCTTAAAGACGACGCGTCTACTATAGGCGTCGAGAATAAACCCGAATATATCTATATATAAGATAGCCGCGATAGCCCTAAATTACTCGACGTAACTAAATACCGCAACTTAGATATAGAAGCCTTCTAATAGGAAGTAGTAGCACGCCCTTTTATCTTATATTCTATATAGCTCGAATGCTATAACAATCTATTACTTACTATTATTAAGAGAGATGCCCTACTTAAAGCTAACGAGTATAATAAGAGAGAGTACGAGAAGCTTATAAAACAAGACAATACGAAAGAGGCGTTAAAGTAGAAGAAGGCTATAGGGGAATTCTAGAAGCTACTTGTAATAGCTAAGTCGAAGGTTTAGGATCTATAGTAAGAGTTAGATAGCAAGAATAAGATTATATAGTTATCGTAGGAATAGGAGGATGCTACTACTTAAGAACTATAGAAGCTAAAGGACGATACCGAGCGACTTCGTATTAGCCGCGATAGCTAGAAGAAGAAAGCTACTAAGGGTAGTAAGATTAATACCTCGGATAGTAACGACTCTACCTTAGAGGAAGAATAAGAGGAGGAAGATCTACTCCTTCTTAACCTATATCGGCGTCGCGAAGGTATAGAACCTCCTACTCCGCCTAAGGATAATACTCGGAAGAACAACTCCGGCAATAAGCACTTAGGATAAGGATACCTAGATAACTCGGATAACTCTAACTCGTCTAATAATAATAACGATATACCTAAGTTGCCCCTTCCTAGTAAGAAGAGCTAGAAGAAGAAGAAGGCTAAATCTGTCTAGACTTCTATAACTTCTATAAGCGTTAAGATTAACCCGAAGCTAGAAGTTGCTAGCTATTATCCGAAGTCTGCCGCTAATATCCTAGAACTACTAAAGTTCTCTAGCGAAGAAGACTCTAACGTATCTTTAGAAGAATAGTTCTAAGTACTCTTTCTAAAGATAGAGAACATTACGTTCTGTTCTAAAGAAGACGCTATATAGTATATCTAACGGTTTACCCGGAAAACCGCTTAGTAGTAGATTAATCCTCGTATTCTAGGTAGGTTTAAGACTATCTATTACCCCTTCGAGAGTGTTAATAACCTCTTCTAAGACTTAAAGGACAACTATAGCATTCGCAACGAGGAAGGAAAGGCCTTTAACGATATAACTACGATAAAACAAGGAAAGGGTAAAGCCTTCTATACTTTCTATAACCGTTACCTTAAGGTCCGTCCTTATATTCCTATAAGTAAGGAAGTTAAAGTATAGACGTTCCGACGCAAGTTAAATAGACGCTATAAAGCTAAGCTAGATAGTTAAGAGTAGATATATATTAGTTAGATTATTAAGAAATATAAGCTCCTCGAAGACGACTTCGCTATCGCTAATAAAAAGATAGAGGAGGATAAGAAAGTAGTAGATGCTTCTAAGAAGAAGGATAAGGACAAGAGCGCTAGCCGTACTAACGGTAGTAGAGGCAACGGCAATAGTAGTAGCAATAGTAATAGCACTCGCAACGGTAGGGGTTTATCTAACGCCGCTACTCTAGGCACTAAAGACTAGAATAACTTACTAGAAGAACTCCGCAACTTAAAGCCTATTACGCTAGTAGAGAAGGAGTATCTTATAAAGAACAATAGCTGTTTCCGTTGTCGTCGTTTGGGTTATCGTCCTACTAGCACTAATTGTCCTATATATAGGTACTCTCGGCCGAAGGACCTTTAGGTTAACTCTACTAAGGCGACTAAGGAGGGAAAAGACACCGCTACTTCTTAAGCGAGTTAGGAAGTAGTAGGTATAAGGGTTCTTTAAATATATTAGCATTAGCAATCGGACTTAAGTAAGGATTACCTCCTATTAGTCCTTATATCGTTCTACCTATTATAGCTTTAAATAGAAAAGCAGAGGCTCTCGCTAATATTGCTACTACCTTATACTTTGTTAAACTCGCCTATACTATCTAATACAAAATTCCTCGTATCCCGTTATCCTAGTTACGTTAGCTAAACTTAGCTAATAGAAGTGCTTCTACGTAACGAGTTACGTACGTAGCCTTAGTCGACGTTACTATAGAAGGTAGGCACTACGAATAGATCCTCTATTACGTAGCCAATCTATAGTACGATCTCGTGCTTAGCTTGCCGTAGTTCGAAAAGCATAAACCTACTATATACTAGAAATCTAGTACGTTGCTCTTTAACTCGGACTATTGCCTTAGTAACTGTCTAATAAATAGTACGCCGGTTTCCGTATAGTCTATTAACTATCGTAACCGACTAGAATACGGACCTAAGTTGTTTAACTGCTATACTAGCATTATACTAGAGTATCCGCTTGCTATCGACTCTATATCTACCGTACCTAATCCTCCTCTGCCTCCTAACTCGGAAGTAGTAGAAATCTCGGCCTTAGCTATTACTATAATAGTATAACGACCCGGCGCTAAAGTCTACGTACTTTGGCCTTTAGAGTTAGGCAAATTAATACCTTCTATCTATTCTATATCTGCTTTAGATTATAAGATATATATATAAGGCAAGGATGTTAGTATAGATCCTCGAGAGAAGCTTCCTCCTATATACTATTACCTCGCCTACGGGTTCTAACGCAAAGGTAAAGAAACCTTGCCTCCTTACCGACCTAGTATCGATTACGAGATTAAATTAAAAGACGGCTAGCGGCCTCCTTTCTAAAGAGCCTATAGTATATTAGAAATAGAAAACAACGCCGTAAAGAAATAGTTAGATAAATAGTAAGGACAAGGGCGTATCCGCAAAAGCTACGCTAATTGCGCCTTACCCGTTATAGTCGTTAAGAAACCTAGTAGAGGCTTACGGGTTTGCGTTAACTATAGAGGCATTAACGCGCTTACTGTAAAAAGCCGTTATCCTATTCCGCTAATTAAGGAAACTATAAATCGCCTATATAATAAAAAGTTCTTTACGAAACTAGATATTGTAGCTATCTTTAATAAGATACGTATAAAAGAAGGATAGGAGTAGATAACTTCATTTATTACCCGCTATAGACAATTCGAAAGCTTAGTCTTGCTATTCGGGCTTTACAACGGCCCTTCTACGTTTTAGGCCTTTATTAACGAGGTACTATAGAAGTAGCTCGACGACTTCGTATCTACCTACCTTAACGATATACTTATCTTTAGCGACAATTTAGAAGATTATATTAAACATGTTAAGACAGTTCTATAAGCGCTTATCGATGCTAGCCTTACTATCGATATTAACAAATGCGAATTCTACGTCTAAGAGACTAAATACCTTAGTCTAATTGTCTCTAGCGAGGGTATTAAAATAGACCCTACTAAAGTCGAATGTATCTTAAACTAGGAAGCTCCGGGAAACGTAAAGGAGGTGCTCTTATTTCTCGGCTTCGCTAACTTCTATAGAAGATTT